TGCCACCGCCGGTCCACGTAACCCTTACCTACCCCAATTTGTGGTGGTGTCAGTTCCACTACCTGTTCGTGTCTGTTCCACATTTCCGAAACTGGTTTGCGTCCAAAAACACAAATATAGAAAGAAAAAAAAAAAACAAAAACAAAAGGCGAAGGCAAAAAACATGTTGATACGAACTTGCACTTTCTTTCAATTAGCTCGCAAGTTTGTTTCTTTCAGCACGGGTTTTACTTTCGTTACTGGCTTTTAATACCCTAATTACCGCATATTTAAGCCGAATCGCTGGATGGGGCGTGGGTGCTAGAGCCGAGAAGAAGAAGTCCAATTATGGTGCGGCTCGCGTGACTGTCAGCTGTCAGCGGTTCGCGCCAGCGGCAAGTCTCGATGAAAGGCGCCGTTATGTTGGCGGCCAGATATCAAGATATTTGGCAACTGGCATCTGGACTTTTGAGTTCTTAAGACGCTGTCGTCGGCGCGTCTCTTTCAGTGGTCTCTTGAACGTTGCCCTGATCATGTCGTGGAATATTCTGTGGATGTGTCTGTGGCTGCTCGTGCGGCAGCTTGTTGTCGTCCTGGCGCTCTATGAGCAGTGCAATCATCAGCTGGAGCTGCAGGCGGGCCAGAAAATCTACATCAACTCGCCCTACTATCCTGCCCAGTATCCAGCGGGCAGCTCCTGTCGTTACGCGCTCCAAGCGCCCAGGGATCATGTGTTACATTTCAAATGTGAGCTGCAGCTGCACACGGTGGGTCAGAAATTTTTGTGATAAAAGGATTATGCTAAATACGTGCCAGTGTTTGTGACATGCAGCTAAGGACAGCAAGAACTATTGTTAAAAGTTGTGTTTAAAACAAGGCTGCAAGAAAAAATAATTATCGGTGGTCAACGGTTTGATCAAACATCTCGGTTCACTTTGAAAACTTGGTGATTTATTTGTGAAGCAGGAGTTTAGTTTCGATTGTTATATAAAATAATAAGTTTATTATGAAATGTCCATCTTTTCGATGCTCCACTCAGCAGATGGACCCTAGGATAGATCCTTAGAGCAGCTAATTAATAGTTTGTTTCATTAGGCCGTAAAAGATAGAAGATGGACATTACATAAGAAACAAAGTTACTCTTCACTTTGTAAAAGAGTACAATATTGGCTCGGTTCAAACTCAGCTTATAGGTTTTAAGGTATAATATAAGTGAAAAGGTGCGGTAAGCTGTTTCAATCATGCGGACTTTGATCGAATTATCAGTAGTGAACTTTAAATGAATGTCTAAATGCTCTGTATGACGCAGAGTCCGATCTAAGCAAATGCAAGACCACAAGTTTCTTTATGTGATCTTGGATTTTAGCTCTATTAAAGTGTACGAACTCCGCGCGGAGATATGACGTTGCAAAACGAAATAACTCCGCGCGGAGATATGACGTTCCAAAACGACATAACTACGACAAAACTCCGCGCGGAGAGATGACGTTCTAAAATGACATAACTCCGCGCGGCGATATGACGTTCCAAAACGACATAACTCCAGCCCGGAGATATGACGTTTAAAAACGACATAACTCCAGCCCGGATATATGACGTTCAAAAACGACATAACTCCGCGCGGAGATATGACGTTCCAAAACGACATAACTACGACAAAACTCCGCGCGGCGATATGACGTTCAAAACGACATAACTCCAGCCCGGAGATATGACGTTCCAAAACGACATAGCTCCGCGCGGAGATATGACCTTCCAAATCATCACGTTTATTTTCAAAATAGAGGTCGGTGCGAAAATCGAAACTTTTTCGATGATTATACCCTGAACCCATCAAAAATGGGTATGAGGGTATATTGTATTTGTGCAAAATCCAAATGTATGTAACAGGCAGAAGGAAGCTCCTCCGACCCCATAAAGTATATATATTCTTGATCAGCATCAATAGCGGAGTCGATCTAGCCATGTCCGTCTGTCTGTCCGTCCGTCCGTCCGTATGAAATTTTAGATGTAGGTCGATCGAGTTTGATTCCGATAATCGATAACTAACTCCGTTTCCTTGCAATCGATAAAAATCGATATTGATATCCTGTTTTTGGGGAAATTTTGGTAACTAATAAGAGCTAGAGTCACCAAACTTGACATATAGCTTCTAAAATAGAATATATATATGCATTTGATGTTGGAAGAAGACGTTTCAGGGTATCCCCTAGTCGTGAGCTCTCGACTAGAGCCTCTTACTTGTTTTAGTCTCTTTTAGTACATAGAATACGATTTTAGGATACAGCTTTGTCATGCAATCTGCCTGTTAATTTGTTAATTGTTGCACAACTGTTTTTTCTGTTTCTGCTGCATGTTGCCCGCCCCTACAGCTAGTGAAGGACACGCGCTGCCGCGCTGAGGTGTTTCACTTCAATGCCGAGGGCGACGAGCTGTTGACGAGCTCCGAATACTTTTGTGGCGCTGGCAAGTTCGAGCGTCAAAGTTTTCTGAATCGTGCCGTGATTTCCTACATATCGCAGAGAAAGGAGGCGGCGACAGCTGCAGTTCCAGCTACCTTGGTGCCAAAGTTAAGGGATAAGCTGCCAACGCGAGCCACGAGCACCAGCAGCAGCACAACAACTACGAAGGTGCCCCCAGTGGGGCAGGAGGACCAGGAAGATGAAAAGGAAGCAGGGCAGCAGGATGACGATGATGATGATGATAACTTTACGAACGAGGTGCTGCACGTGCTGCAGGATGTGGGCGTAAGCGATGCTTTGGCTTACGTCGCCTCGCTTCTGTATGATGAGCCCAACAATGGTCGTCGAATTGGCAGCACGCCCGCACCAGCTTACTTGGCCCAGTTGCCAGGCCACACTCCAAAGACTTCCGCAAAACGTGGCAAAATTTTGTCCGTTTATCCGCTGGCCGTGCCGGGCGGTGGTCGCTTCTCATGCCTGGTCGAAGCCCTGTCGCCTAATTGCAATTGCGGCTGGAGTCTCACACAAAGAATCGCCAGTCCAACAAACGACGAGGCTTCCCTTCACGAGTTCCCCTCCATGGCCGGTGTGCTGACCAAGAAGCAGGGCAAAGTCTTCTGCGGTGCTGCCATCAGTAAGTGGACAGCATGGCATATAGTGAATTTTAACAGTTACCAACAAGACTTTCCTTTCCTTCAGTTCATCATCATTACTTGCTCTCGGCGGCACACTGTTTCCTCAGTCCAGAGACGAACCACGCCGCTCTGCTGCGCATCGTGGTGGGCGAACACGATCTGTCCAGCGCCTACGAGACCCTTTTCACGCGTCGCTACGATCTGGACACGCTGATACTCCACGAGCAGTTCAGCCAGGCGAATGGCCAGCTGCGTAATGACATCGCCCTGCTGCGCACCCGCACGCCCATCCAGTTTAATCGCAGCGTCGGGCCCGCCTGTCTGCCCCTGCAGCCGGCAGCGAATGGCCGAAAACTGCCGCTGGTGGGCCAACAGCTGCTGGCTGCCGGCTGGGGCACCACTTCCTATGGCGGACCGCAGACGCATCGCTTACTGAAGACAACGCTGGATGTGATCAGCGTCGAGCAGTGCCGCAGCTCGCTCAGTCAGGGATCCGTGCCTGTTCATAGCTTTTGCACCTACACACCTGGGCGGGATACCTGCCAGTACGACTCTGGCGGTGCTCTATACGAGCGCAGCAATGGCCGCCTCATGGCCGTCGGCATTGTCAGCTATGGCTACGCCTGCGCCACGCAGCAGCCATCGGTTAATACACGAGTGGCCTCCTTTATCAAATGGATCAGAACCAAGACGCCAGAGGTGGCTTACTGCCTCAAGCAAATATGAAAAGAAACCAAGCAAATTAAAGCATACGACAGAATACTTATTTTTGTATCAAGTGCAGATGTACGGCAAATATTACTCACTAAAATAATTAATTTGTTCTTTTACGCAGATTTAAAAAAATATATTTGTCTGCGATTTGTTACTATTTTCTAAGACCTTTGGAATAGATAATACTAGCCTGGCATTCAGAGCCGGATCTACCGACGCCTATACTGAAAATTTTTTTTAAGTTAAAGCAATATTTATTCAGGTTTATTTTGGGATATGATATTTCATAAGGCGGATGCTTGATCAAACTGTCTTGAATGTAACATATCCTTTGATGTATTTGCTGTTATTTTTGCCAATTTTTAGATTCTATACAGAAACTAAGCTAATTATTGCTCACAGAATGTAAACATGCTTAACCATATATTATTTGAACGAACCAGCAAGTTCTCGGAATAACTCAAATAGTTTCGAGTTTCGTCTTCTTTAACAATAATCTTGTTTACAAAATAATTTGCACACCGATTTGCTTGGTTTGTTTTGATTAAAAAAAAAGAAAAGAAAAGTCAAAAATAGTTTTGATTAGTTTGAATCCAAACGAAAATGGAATTGTGAAATTATTTTTTCACCAAATTTCCACAGCATGGCAAGTAATTATATAACATAATGTAAATACAGTATCTAACTCTTAACTTAACACTTATCATCTATCAGTAAGTTGAGAGACTAACTTGTTTATCAACTTAGCTTAAAGTTTCGATCAAACGCAAGAAGAACCATAAGATCTTACGCACAGTTAACTGTGTAGGGATTTATTTCCTAAAGCCCGAACTAGTTCATTTTAGAAAATCAGGTCTGGCGTTCGTTGGTTGCTTTCAGACAACTGATGCTACCTGCTGTCAAGTGAGTGTCAAGTTTGGCGCTATGCTTGAACGCTTTGTCAACAGGCGCATCAAGCCAATTCAGTCATCAATCATGCATGGAAATCTTAACGCCTGGCTGGCGCTCTATGCCCCGCCGCAGATTGCAATTAAGCGCAAATGTCAACTAATTAACCTCAATGGCTGGCTGCAGGCAATACGAGTTCGTGGAGCAGATACAACAACCTCTTCTCCACTTGCCATAAACGAGCGCCATGTGCTGATGTCCTGTCAATAAAAATGCTGCATTTTTGCAATGTTTTTGCGTTTCACATATTTGCCCTTTTTATTTATTTTTGTATTTTTTTGCCTTTTTGCTGCTTTGCCGTCTGCTGTCGTCTTCCTTTCAAATAAATAATTAAACGTTTGCCATAACATATGAAGCATGCTTTTAGGCTTAAAGGCAATACAAATCGTCTGCCAGTCACTGTCTATGCGGTTGCTGCTATTTTTGCATATCCCCTTGCCGCCAAATAAATATTTGGTTTTTATTTTTACGTATACTCTAGAAGTAGAGGGTATGATGAAGTTGCTACGCAATGTGCGACACATTCATGATGGCATTGCCTTACCGACTCGTTCCTTTGCTCGTAATCGAATCCAGATCGAATTACATTTAACATTCAAATAGAGGCAATACATTTAAAGCGGAGGCATTGCTCCATTTCATTATCAACATTCTTATGCTTACAGCTATCTAAAAAATATGTTAAGGATAACATTGCAGATTTTAGATATATCAATACATCAATAAGATAGGATCTCGGTAAATATTAGATACTCTTATTGACACAGCACTCAAGAAGAAAAGATTAAAACTGAAAATTTGTTCATAAAAAATCTTATTTCTATGATATAGAAGTCTGATGTTGATGAGTTATGTGTTTTATGTAGGGAGCATAGTAAAACTAATCAATGATAAGTTTGAAAAAGGTATCTTGATATTGAAAAATTTTGTAGAATAACTTTCTTTTGTACCGATTGTTCCTATGGCAGCTATATGATTAGTCCGATCAAATTATGGATCTTGCCAAAATTGCATGACGATATCTGAAAAAACTGTGAGGAAATGTTTTTATTGATCGGAAATATATTTACTTTATGGCGTCTTCATCTACTTTTTACATTTCGTGATAAAACGTATATAAATGATAAATAATGATGGATGAATAATAGGCATCAAATATGCGTGGAAGGGTATTTAACAGTCGGTTACCCCACAAGGACAACTGCTTTTACTTGCATGTTTTTCTTTTTTTTCCCTTCATTGTGTTTGTCTAACTGCAATGCACTTTTCTATGCTGTCTGTTTGGCTGCCTGTCTAACTAAGCCGCCTGCATTTGGGCGCTTCTGCAATGCAAGAGTATTGGCCGCTCTGCTTGTGCTTGCTTCGCTCTGTGCCTGTTTCTGTGTTTGTTTGCTTTATTTGGGACGTGGCTCATGTCTGTGCCTCTGCCTTGTGAGGCTCTGCTGCTCGGCTCTGTTGTTTAATTTACGTAAAACGCGGCAACGTCAACTGCAGTCGGCGGCATCAAGTGTTGCGTGGTGCCTGCATTGGCCGGTGGGCGTGGCACCAGGCATAGAAATCGCTGGCATAGACGGAGGCACTAATTGAAAAGCAGCAGCCACTAACAGAAACAACAGCATTGGAGGAGCATCAGCCCCAGTTTCAGTGTGCCATCTCTGGGGAAATGCAGTTTTTCCACAACAGTTAAACTACAGTAAACACTGCTTATGGTTACTCCAAATGGTTGCAGTACTTAATAATAACTAGATGTTTTAGGTCAGGCAAAAACTATCAAGGGGATTTTAATGCTGTAACGATTTGTTTAATCTGTTTTCTTTATTTAAAATCGTCGTTTCTTAATCTATCTCTCGAATGTTTACGTTTCCACTACACATCCTCCGACCAGAACAATTCTCACTGTATGAAGAAAGCGCAGCGGCTTTTTTGCACTTCTTTCCCTCTCCGAAGTTTTCAAATTTCCTTTGCATACTTTTGTGCTGCATTTGATTACAAAATGGCGTCGATGATGGGGGCGTCTCTGCGACTGCGGCCGCTGCAGTCGTAATACGCGCCTAAACATTGCCATTTAGTTTTCGTTTTGGTGCGCCGCCGCCGCCGCCGACACGCCAAAAAGTATGCAATGCGAAACGCAGCGGCAACTGGGCTTGGACTTTGACTATTCATTAGCGTGTGTGCCAAACTCTAACAAGCTCAAAAAGCAATTTGCAGCAGGCAGCTAAAAATTGGCAAAAATATCGACATGCTGGCTCGTGGAATTGACGTTTTGGGTGGACGGCCCCATATGAGGCTTAGTGGGTGGGGCCGATTCGGCCCGTTACATAAAACCACGCGTCGTACAAAAGCCGCCAAATCGTTGTACACAAAACACCGAAATACAAAATGGCTGCCATATCAGTATAAAAGTGCAAATGATTGAGCTTCCACAAACCGCTTTCACCCCAATAACGCCAATACATATGCAAATTGTTGCACGAAAACTATGTACAACGATCAGAACAATTGTAAAACTCTGTCTTACCATTGGTTATCCTGGTTATATGGCATAAAGTGTAGCTCGTCGAATTATTCTCCACATGTTGGCGAGCTTGATGAGATTTATTTGATGGGAACACATGTATATAACACTTTTTCTGCCTTGGCAAACGTTTTGGTTTTATTTTTATTTATCGGCCACAATGTGTGGTCAGAAATTAGCGTCGCTTTGTTGTCCACGTAGTAGGCCAATTAAATCCGTTCACATCAATAAAAACATGGAAAAATGCTTGTTTGCCCTTTTGGTTTTATGTTCAAGCTCCGCCGGTAACCAATGATAAATATAAGATACCAATTTTCAAAAAGCTTCAAGCCCTTTACTTATATATGTGCTTCATTTGGGATTTTTATATGTGTTTCATATGGGATCTAGCATGCAAGAAGACCGTCAAGCAGCTGCATCCTGCGTTGAAAGCCGAGTAGTCACAGAACATACCCTGTTCACCGGCTAATCCTTGACACTATCCGCGTCTGGTCAGCTCCACTAAACAGTCTTTATATGACATAGCCTGTATAAATCGATGACAAATTGATTTTTTATGTTGGAACAATAATAAAATATCTTAATAAAGCTTAAAGTTCTTACCCAGGCTGCAGGCTGCCGTTACCTACTACATGTCTTATGACTTTATATGGTCCGAGTCTATATATGTATTTTTATTGACCAATTGTTTAGATACCTTAATAATATTTTCCATAAAAAAATAAATAACGATTTAGTCAATATAAACACATGAAACAAATTAATTTGGAAAACATTTTTAAACGTTGAGTATGACCTTCCATATGAAACAGTGCACTCGGAACATGGGTTCCCCTGCTCTTTTTGCTTTATTTGAATTGGATTGTTTGTGATTTTGTCCAAGACTCACTTCGATAATATCAAAATGGGCATTGGACAAAACCACATCCGTTCGGAATATGCAGCTATACTGGATCAACTAAGAAATATTGCAATATGCTATTTTGAGGCTACATCGCGAAGTTGCCATAGATCATCTTTCTTCTAAATTCTGACCAACGATATTTTGCATTATGCGATTTAAATTCATCATTCAGCGAATGCCTGAGAAATGGATGTAGGTTTTTCTTTAAACTGTGAGGGTCGGAAGTTTTGCGATCAGGTTCCGTATTATTGCGGCTTTTGTTCTTGATATAGTCCATGGTATAGTCGTGTGCTCTGCATACCGAATCCGCATGATCAATCGTGGAATTCTCATGATGCCTGGGGAACCTTCCATACATACGATGCCCCACAATCGATTTTGCTGCATTGTACACCATATGGGGGTTATTGCGGCGCACAAGGAACGACATTCTCAAAAATATACAACGTTAATTGGAATTTGGAATTTTGTTTAAGCCAAATGTATTTCAGTTCGTTAAAATACAAGTATAATGAACAATTTTAATGCTTTTCATTTTATGTATTTCGCATGACATACTATGCTTATATACTAAAAAAAATATGTCGGCGAACTCAACTGTGGAAGTACTATAATTTCTGTCTCTGTTGAAAAGTCAAAAGTTCATTCAGAAAATAATATAATTTATGTAGAATCAGCTTGGGTTAGGATTTTCATTCTAAGTAAGATACTCCTTTATCTACTTTTCATAGACTTAGCAAACAAAAGGCAAGTCTTTTGATTTTCCAATTAAATGTAAGTCTTCCCTTTATATTTCTACTTTATAAAAAGCATTGATGATCAATCGATTCTAGAGAATATAGTATAAACATTATATAGAATAAGAATAATAATTTATTTCTTCTGTAATCAATTGAATGTTGTTTTTATCCAATGTATTTATGCTAAATCTTGGTTTTTGTTATCTCTGATTGTTAATGATGGTAACACAACAAAATTTTTGCATACTGGGGCATAAGGGGAAAAATCCAAAATGTTCTTGATACTCCTTCAAAAGATTGCCTTTTTCGAAACATTCTTAAGCTTCACATAGTTTGTGAAGGCTGTGGTTATGCTAATTTATTAATATAACCGATAAATGAATCTGCATACTTACTTCATGAAATATCCTTTATATATCATGCGTACCGTAGATCATACGTCTGCGAAAATCTGCCCACCGATAGCGCGCATTCCAATGGTGCAGTTGAGCATCCTTGGTTTTGCCTTGCTGATGGTGATTTATAAAGTTCTGCACAAAACTGCTAGGTGCATGATGATATTCTGGATTCGGCTCTCTACGCTGCTGCATCATGTTGCTTTTGATTTGAGCCATTTGAGCCTTAGACTTATTTTGGTGATGTAATTTGCGACTGGAATACGGCAACTTGCTTTGGTATATTACAAGACATTTCGAAAACATGTCAAAATAGTCAACAATTCCAACTTGTTCTTGAAATGATATTAATTTACGTGATTTGGATTTGTGCTTCAAATTCCCAGATCCTCGTACGAAACAAAAGTACAAATGTTAATGAATATTAAGTGTCTAAATAAAACAGATCTAATGATCTGGCAACATATGAAACACAGCTGACTTAGATGGGGCTGTGAAAACAGTATTTCAATAGCAAACTATGGAAGTACACAAATATTTTTAGTTCGCTGTAGATGAATTCTCAGAGTTTCAGTAGTAATATAATAGTTTTTAAAAAGTAATAATAAAATATACATATTCTTCCAACTTATAAATAAATAAATAATAGATATTTTTATTCAGAGAATAATAATATTAATCATAATAAAAATATTCTTAGTAATAACAATGATAAGAATACCTTTCAATACACAATACATATTTTAATAAATTGACCTAAGAAATATATTAAGTCCAACAACTTGTTTTTTTGTCGACTAGATTTACCGATTCTACAATTCTTCATAGTTCAACATTTGTCATCCGCTTTATTAATATTCGTGAAGATCTCTTACCCCGTTTTCGTGCTGCTTAACACGCAAGTTTGTTCTTCAGAAACTAGCGACATACTTTGTCATATTTTCACGTCCTTTCTGTGAATAAAGGAGACATGAAAAAGCAACAACAGCAGAAAGTGGCTAAAGAAAGGACCGAATACAAATAAGAGTGCACTCAAGTAATACGCTTCATAATTTTTATTGTCAAGTCTTTTCGGGGGGTTTGAGCTCTTGGCGTCGTTGTTGGCCCACTCGACAACAAAAGCTGGAAAGCGCTTGCCATGAGAGAAAAACAACAACAAAATATAATAAAAAACAAAAGCGAAATGGAAAAAGGCAGAAAATTAAGTGCAGCCAGCACAAGAGATTGCAACAAAGCAGAGCACCATTTTTTTCAAAGCAGCATAAATTTTATAATATACAAAAAAATCAATGGAGCCACTGTAAAAGGATTACGGCCAGGACATGACGGTGTCGGGGATCCAGGGTCGAGGACCCAGGCCACTTCTTATGCAAAGCACTGGCCCACTACCAGAACAGCATAGCATCTGCACTGCCTGCTGCCGTTTCCCTCCCCGCCATGCCCCTCTTGGCAGTGGCACGCAATTAACTTGCCTGTGATTTTATTTTTTGAGCTCATTGTTTTTGTTAAGTTGTTGCCATTTCTAGTGTTTTGCGCGAGTTAATTTCAATGCACAAACATACAGAGTTGCACACAGTAACATTTCATTTGATGTGAATAAAATCTCCAATTCATTATACTCTAAGCCCAGGGAAAATGGTAAAAGGAGTATACTGTTTTTTTGAGTAACGACGTAACAATTCCATATGGTATATATATTTGAGATTAGGGCGAAATAATTCAATATTCTTTATCTATGTCCGTCTGTCAGTCTGTCTAATGGGTAAAACTTGTCCGTGGCAAGTTTTCTGCTTTAAATTTAATTTTTCAGTTTTTTACTCATTTCCTGCTTGTGAAAAAATATTTTTTAAAACAAATGAATGAAGAGCCAAAGTTTGTATCAATATTTTCCGCACATTTTATTCCCGTGGTGTAAAGCTTAAGGCTGCAAAAAAAACAAACAATTTTTATTCATTCAATTTTTCGAGAAAAGTAGAGAGCACGAATCAATTGGAAAACAAATTTTCAATATCATGAAGTTTTCATGTAGTACTTGGACAAAAAGTTGTAACGCCCGAAAAAGTTGTAACTCCATTTTCCACCGAGCATTTCGCATTTGCGAAAATTCATTTTCACATAGAGCATACGTGTGGATTATCCCGATACAACGTCTATGCGTGCATCTCATCACATAAGGTAGCTACAGTTGGACTGTGGCGGTTTGGGTTGTGAAATGAACATAAATAAATCAGACAGTCACTCAGTTATACAGAATAAACAGATATATATATATACATATATAAAAATAACAGCATTATAAAACTATTTACTTCTTGGATAACAAGAAGTTGTTGATTCAGAATGCAGATCCCCTGAATAAGGGTGCAGCTTGTGGCGTGCGGCTCTATATTCGTAAGGGTAGATTGGCGTTGGGTTCACGTCCGACCGGAGCACTTGTTGGGTTTTGCACTTGTTGGCATAATTATTCGGCCGCGACAGCGCTTGGGCTTTATCTTTGATGTGTCCCGCGCCAAAATGGGCTAAGTACTAGAAGGCGGCAATTAACAAAGAGTTCATAATTGTTTAATTATATTTTCTGCTCTCGTTAAGGAGAAAAGCTGAAATAATGCAGATGGAAAAATAGAAAGTCCAGCTTATGGTCATGCATACATATATATTTGTTATAGCAATTAACTTTCGGTAAATTTGTTTAACTGCATGTTCAATTTTTTAACATATTCAAATTTTTGAGTTGCCTCTCAGAAATACGGATATAATTTAGAATTTATGCCAAGTGGTTGAATCTATGCATGCATAGTTATATATATATATATGCAGACTATTAGGCAGAACTAGGTAACTAAAAGCTCGTACCGCCATATATCATGCGATGGCGAAACTCGGCCCAGCTGTTGCGGTGGGTTCTATAGGTGGTGTACGGCGCGATAACCTTCTTTGAGAGGGAAGACTCGGGATAAACTGGTCGGTGCTTGGTCATTCGTCTTAGTAGATCAGCATCTGCTTCACGCTGTTTTTCTTGCTCATCCTCGTTGACTTCTTGAGCACCAAAGACAGCATCCCGCACAGTGCGCAGCTCCCGTTGACCTTCATTATGAGCCTCTTCGTGCGATTCCGCGGTACTCACGTCCGCTATAGGCTCTTGTTTTTCATTTATTTCTGGTTTCTCCATTGAACCCCGTCTCATGCAAGCATTTTTGGCAGCCAATATGTTATTGCGTCGGGGCGTGGAGCCTCTTCGGTTAATTAATTGATTTTGGGTTACATTATTGGTACCGAATTGTCTAAAGTTGGACCAGTTTCGATTTTGACGGAGAAGTTGGACAGCCGCATAGCCCTCTTCCCGTTTGGGCCACGAGAGCCTATCGCTCGACTTGACGCTCAGTCCAAAAGCATCGTAGCTCTTCTCCAGAAGGGTCCTTCCACTATAATTCCGCTGATAAGCGCGCATCGACTGTGATAACCGTTGCACGGCCGAGACACTTTTTGCCGGCATTATCGAAAAAATATAACCGAAACTTTTATATATAGCCAAAGTTTTAATACGTTAGTCCTACTTCTGGGCAACGCGTTTAAAAAAAAGTTTTTTTTCGAAAAATTTTAAATTTGGTTGACCACGTTAGACAGAATATTTGAAAATGAGGCATTGAACAGTACAACTACGAATTTGTTATTCTTACTGCCAATGACAATAAATGAAGCGAGTGCTCGACATCAAAACCCAATACAAAACCAAAATGTCAACGAAAAACGATTGCTTGGAAGAATATTCATATATAAATAGTATATCTGTGCTTTTATTTATTTATTTATTTATTTATTTATTTATGCGTATTTATTGCCAGCAGAATTCAATTAAAAAACCTACTTGAGTTGCGTATCAAACAAATTACAAGTGCACACAAAAAAGCAAAAATATCCCATAAAACAATTTTCCTCGTCGCAGGAACATTTATTAATTTTGCAGCAGGCGACAGCCGCAGATGACGTTGGGGTTGGGCAATACTTAGGACGGACGGGGGGCCGGAAAGGCCTATGCAAAATTTAACGCAATTTTGAGATAACAAAAAGCCGACAACACAAACGTCGCCAAGAAATTGAGTTAGCATACAATTACAACAACAATTATGAGTTGCATTTTACAATAAATGAAAATACAACAACAAGAACAACAAGTAGCCAACTACTCGATGCCCTTAAAAGGAAAATGTAGAGCCTCAGTTGAAAGGAACTTCGTTTTAAATGTTTGAAAATAGATACTACAGAACAAAAATAATTACAAATTAATTTCAATTTATTTTCGAAAATTTTTCGCATTCAAAGAAAAATTAGTTTTTGGTAAATAAACTAATTACAGCATATCAAAAATAAAATCTCTGGTAAGATAGCTAAGTACCTTAGCTTTTTGGGTCCTACAAATAAAGAACATATTTTAGTTTTTTTCATTAAACATTTTCAAGTAAAAATATATGAAAATTTTCATTCAATCAATTTACTTCTTACCCGCATATAAAAATACTAGATTTATTGCTAGCATTTTTTTAATATTAATTAAAAAATTTTTTTAATGCATATAGTACTTATGTTTAATCAACTCTTGTGTTTTGCAGAGCTTAACATAAATATGAAATAAACAAACACAAACTCGACACATAAAAAGTGTAATATATGAACCAAGTCTTTTTAATGATTACCAAAGTAGGCAACAGATTTAAAATTTGTTTTAATTTTGACAGTGTCTTAAGAATAAACTTGCTCAGCTTGATTATAAATTTGTTAAATAAACTTTCGGTCTTAGCCAAATTATATCAAACGATAACGAAGCATATAATAAAAATAACCATAAACCTAAAGTACTTAGCTAATGTAAGTGTATAAGCTGTCAGTACATTTTATTGTAGTTGGTGGAAACTATGCACAGAGCTGAAGGCTGCATGGCCGATAGGATGGGCTGTAAGTTTGTGCATTGTTTAAATATAGGCAAAACATGTCACAGCTTTTTAATTTAAATGCAAATTAAGGCTTTTGTCAACACTTCAAGACTGCCAAACTAAGGCGAAAGAAGCAACAGCAAGAGCAGCCGAAGAAGATGTTGGAGCGGCAAATGTCTGAGGGGCAATGCCAAGAGAGTTGTTTAGCAATTGTCGAGAGCTTTCCAGCTGCCAGCTGCCAGCTGCATATGGCATTGCGAAGCCCAACAGTCAATAAACAACAGCCACTTCTCTAACGCGCACAAACCGAGCCGCCCAAATAGCGCCACAGCCAGTTGAGATGTGACGAGACGCGAGTGTTGACTCCAATACCAAAGCTTTGGCCACAGGCACGTCCGTAGCTGATGATGCCGAGCAGGAACATGCGTGAGCGTTGACGCTGGATAACGGGTCCGCCCGAATCGAACTGGCAGGAGTCCTGGCCCAATCCCATATGATCGTAAGTGCACACCTGATTGGGGGCTATGGTGCCATTATAACGGACACTGCACTCAGAATTCACAATGGTCATCAATTGGGCCTTTTGCAGCGTGTTCGATTTGGCAAAACCAAAGCCCAAAGTGCCCCAGCCAGCAATATCGACAATCTCGTAGGTTTCCGCTCTAATGCAATAGAAATAAGTGAAGATTGTTAGATCACAATGGACATGAAACTGAACTCGATTTGCAGTAATTCCCTACTCGTTTTAGATAAAACCTTAGTATGATAAGCTCCATGAAGATATTTTTTTTAGAGAAATGATAGGTTTCGTCAAATGACTTACCATTTAATTATTTCGCTTGAATTAAACAAAGATTAACATTTTGAAGTGCCCTGATAAGTTTGATATATTTTTGTTGTTAAATAGTAAATGCTCTGTTAAATCTTGTTTAACAATACTCATAAGATAAGTTTTACTTAACTGATAAAATCATAAAATTTCGCTTTTAAATTTATATAAAAGAAAAGTCTGACACGAAGGTCAACCTGAGATAATATGATAACGTCAGTAAGTTAACTGCTGTTCTCCATCCAAAACCTTTTAGAGGATAGATATTTTCTTCTTTCTTTCTGGCTATAATATTTTTTGTGCTAGATTGATTTAAGAGAGAACCTGCTTTTACCGCACGTCAAAGATTAAACACCTTTAGAGTTTTGTGGATGTCTGAGAATAGTAGTGAAGTTCTTATTGCTTTATTTGCTTAAGATGAAGAATATAAAATTTTCTGTTTGGTGAAGTCGTCATAAGAATATTTTACCATAAGTAACATAAATGGCAAATTTTTCTTAAAATATTTGTAAGAACAAACGAGAACGTAGGGTATCTTCGACTCTCCGAAGATTTAATGCACTTGTATATACATATATATTTTAGAATAGTGAAGCTTGTAAACGCTGAGATTGAGAAAAATATCTTGGTGAAACGAATATTTTTCAATACAAGAACCTCATTTTCGACATATGGCTGTGCAGCTATATAACATATATGAAGTTGCTCACTTCACTCCAAATAGAATAGAACCAACTTTTGGGCGTATATATATATATATATATATATATATATATATATATACACTTTCTGTTGGAATAGATCGTTAGGACATGAAGGCTTCAGCTGTTGGAGAAAATGTTTTTCTGGTATCTGAAACTGCTTTCAGTTCTTATAATTTACACGGTATACTTTGTAGCAGTCAAGGAATCGGCTGCCTAGTTAAAAATTGTAATAAATACTTTTGACTTACATTTGTGTCTGTCCAAAGGGCAGGCAAATGGGCGCCACGCCTCGTGAAAATTCGATGGGTGCCAATGTCTGGAGCAGACCGATATCGTTTGTATCTCCAATGCTGTTGTAGGCTGGATGATTGATAATGGCTTGTATGGCATATTGACCAGAGAACATAGATTCGCTAGCTGTGTAGAAACAAAAGTGAGCTAATTGGTCAAGACAAGACACAAGGAAAAGTACTTACCACTGCTGAGGTCGTGATCACCCACCAGAGCCAAGAGTCGCGTAGCCAACCGCTGGACCGTGCAATGCGCTGCGGTGACAATAAAGCGATCACTGACGATGCTGCCACCACAGAAGATGGGCTGATTGGAGCCAATCTCCCGCAGACCCACCATTGAGGGATACTCGTGTTTGGCCGCCTCGACGCCGTTCGTGATGCGCATCGGCTGCGACCAGCCGCAGTCGCAGGGCACGCGACGCGCCACCGCCTGGCAGCTCAGCCTGGCGCGCTGCTGGGTTGAGGCACTGATCGACTGGTAGCCCAAGGCTATGGATTGATAGTTCGAGGTGCGGGACACTTGACCCATGCGACAATAGCGCTCGGCATCGCGGAATTTCATATCACCGTCGCGTGAGATGAAGAGAAACTTGGCCTGACAGATGTCGGGATACTAAAACCAAAATAGAGTCAAAGGAGCTGCCAGCCTGGTAAGCAACCCATATTTTTATTACCACTTCGAAGCGACAAGTCAGGTGTATCACATGATTGGGAGGTGCTTTAATCAGGTAACGACAACTGCTGCCCGCTGGCAGTGCCCTTGGAAAATTAGAGCTGGTTATGTTGATGGGTTGATTGGTCTGCAGATTGTACTGCCACCTGCACTGCTGAGCGTCCACCATGCTGAGCAGCAGTAGCAGCAGCAGCAGAAAACTGAGGGATGGCAGCTTGAACATTCTCACAGAATATTATCTCAAGTATTATTGACAGTGACTGCAAGCGGCATCACAAGCAGTACGAGCTCTTATATCAGAATTGGGGAGCCATAAGACAAATAAAATATATTTTAAATAAAGTCAGTTCCCTGATGAAAGTAGGTTACGAAGTCAATGCCTCGACTATTGGCTGAAGGATTTTTAGCCACTGCAAATAGTACAAAAGTCAGTAATTCAACAAATATTCATATTGTTACCTTCATAATGGATGAATGGATCTGAATAATAATATGAAGCATATTATATCTATATATTTCTTAATAATTATGAGCGACTGCGACTGCCGTTAGAAAATTGAAGGGAAGGTAGATTTGACTATGTTTGGAGTTAATAACAAAATCTGCTCACGATGGGCTTTTAAAAGCTGTCTAGAAAACCTGCTCACCTTTAGGTGTTTACACTGTGTAACATACAACATACAAGCAACATTGACCAGTAATCTTGTTATGATGATAATTAGAGATAATCCGAATTTTGAGTTGCCAGACTTTTGTTTCGCAATTATAAAGTCGATTTTTTGATAAAAAGACAAACAAGACGGAAAAATCATTTTAATTGACCATTAAATTTTCAACGTTTTTAAGTTAAGAAATATTTGCGATTTTTATATAATATTTTTTATTTTTGTTAAAGGTCGAATCAGATTTGGATTGTAGACTGATTTTGCAGGAATCACTAGTTACATAGATACTATACAATTGGAATAGGCAGTCTTTTGGCGTATCCAATCGACATATGCGGTGACTCGGGTGTTGACGCCCATGGCATAAGCGGTGGAGGCGCAAGTCTTGCCGAAGCTGATGATGCCCACAAGGAACTGCTTGGAGAGGCGCTTGATGACCGGACCACCTGAATCGTACTGGCAGGAGTCGCGACTCTGGCCGTTATAGTCGTAGGTGCACATTTGGCCAGAATTGATTGTGGCAACACCATTGTAATCCGTTTGGCAATCCTGATTGCTGGCCACCATCAGGTTAATCTTTTGCAGCGTGGTAGACGTGGGACCGGCAAAGTAGGTTGTGCCCCAGCCTATGACATCGACCCCATCGTAGGCAAAGCTACTGGAACTGCACAGAAAGTGAAAATATTTGAGGATCTGTTCAGCATTTTTCTCCATTCGATGCTCTACTCACGTGCCTGAAGGCGGCAAGCAAATGGGACCCACGCCACGTGTCCACTTAATATTCGAGGCTGTGGTCAGCACCGCGATGTCATTCACCACATTCGGCTCGTTTTGGTATTGTTCGTGCCGCAGCATCTGCTGAATCGCATACTGAGCGTAATAGATAGAACTGCTGGCTGTAAAAGCGATACGTATAAGGAGGCAAATCTGACAGTTTGTCGCTTATATAACTAACGATTTTGCAGGTTGTTGGTGCCAACAATGGCCACAATGTTGGTGGCCTGACTAATCTGCAGGGTGCAGTGAGCCGCGGTTATAATATGACGATGGGAGACTGCAAAGAAATAGATACACATGTAAAAAGATACGCATTAAATAGTTTAATATAGAAAGACGTGCTATCTTTGCCACATTGAATATTTAATAGCCGTGCAAAAACTCCTTTTTCTTTTCTATACGAGTTTTATGATATAGTAGTACGCTGTGATAGGGTCTGGTAGATGAGCTTGGCCAAGATACCTTGTAAACCACAATTGGGGACTTTATGCCATAGTGCTTCGATGTTGATAATATTTTGTTAATTTTTAGTATGTGTAAGGCATATAAATATAAAACAAAAATGTGTTTCACACACGAACTTGGTTTTTATCCGATTGCTGGTATGACAGCTATATGATGTAATGGTCCAATCCGGACGCATCTGACATATGCAGTGCCAGCAACAGAAAGATGGACCTATGCAGAATTTGATGACGGTAGTTTGCAAGGAAACAGAGACGGATGCGCTGTGGATATTTATCAAGTATAAATATATAGATTATGGGATTGAAGATGTGTCAAACCACGATTTCCTTTAAGTGTCGTGTTTGTTGCTTTACCAACTATGATAAAACTTTCTGCAGCAAATTAAAAAAAATATTTAAAAAAATTGAATTAATATAATCTTTGCTAAAAGGTCTGCAATTCGGGCCAAATGCGAATTTCATAACTCTTGGGCTTTGATAATGAAGCAGATATCTGGAATGAGCCGAAGGACCATCAAAAACGTCCCTATTCGGGCTACACTCATATCTGTGCAACTTGTTTGTTATTCACTCAAAATAGGTATCTGGCTGCTGTGGCTTTTTTCTAGCCATTATTGCGCAGCTGTGGCGCATTCTAGACTAGACTGATGTCTACCTTACAAGTCCTTAAAAATTGAGTTCTTCTGCTTGAGCTTTTGCTCTCCCTTGTATATCTTTCTACCCACCGATTGCACCACCACAGAATGTGGGCAGGCTGCTGGTGACATCCTTAAGCGCTGCCATGCTGGGATATTCATTGGCCGAGGCCTGTTGTCCGTTCGATATGCGCGCAGTGGCGGACCAGCCACAGTTGCAGCTCTGCGGTTGAACGTTCAAGGTGCATTGAAATTTGCCCGAATTACTGCCCGTCGAGATGTAGGCGAAGGTCAGCTCGGTGAAGAGCGATTCCCTGTTAAAGGTGCCGCTGCCACAGAAGTTCTCGGCACCGCGCATTAACAAGTCGCCCTCAGTGTCCAGCCAGAAATTATCCGTGCTGCACTGGCCATTGTTCTAGAAACGAGGATGCGTTAGCAATCCCAATGCAGACACAATGGGCACCAGTAAACCGCTTACCGATGGCAAACTAATGGTGCATTGTATCTTGATATAGTAATCTAGTGGGGCCGTGAATTTGTAGCGACACGAGGTGCCCGCCGGATAGTTATTAGGGTAGTAGGGCGACTCGACGTAGGTGGGCCCCGCCTGCAGCGTGTAGGTGTTATCGCAGCCCTCGAAGTAGCCCCGAACGGCAGGCAGTGCCAGCAGGCAGCTGGCGAAGATTAGACAACGGCTCAGCATTGTGACAAGACTTTTCGACTTCGATGCCAGCACTCAACTGGGTGGGAATTGACTGCCGCCCCCGACTAATACGAATGGCTCGGGCAAACAACCAAAGTCAAAGCCAAAGACAAAGCCAAATCCACCAACACTTTGCTTTATTGTGCTACTATTAAATGTGACAGCAGTTGATAAAACAAAGTTGTGAACACATTGCGCATACGCCGCGTGTCGCGCATTGTATCGAATACAATTTTCCATTTCAATGATTGTGCGCTGCACTTGTGCAAATATAACGGAAAATGTTGCCTCACCTCGACCTCCAATTGCAGTCGATTTTGAACTTGGCAGTTGCCACTCGCTTAACGCTAATAATTTTATGGCCAACGCCGTCGTGCTATTTTCCCCTGACTTAAATGACTGACAACCGATAAGAGCTCGAAATTTACATTGCCTAACAATGGCAGTGGGCGAGGGTTGCTTGATAATAACAACATATATTATAATTAGTTGGTATCGGTGTTAACAAATTCAATACAAACAACAGAGCGAGTATCGTAACGCAACATCCATTTGAGTTGTACCTTTTTTTGATAATCTATAGGGTCACACACCTCGTAACAAGCAGCACTAATTATTTTTAAATGTTGAAGGTAGTTTTTATAAGATATTCGGCTTACCTCTGGGGTTTTCTAGAGTGAATCCAAAGGCGTGTAGTGGGCGTGTATTCAGTCTTGTTTCTGCCTCGAGTAGGCGGGGTCTTGCACTCGGCTATGTCGTAAACTTACGTCGAGTATTTAATATATGTACTTAAAAAATATCAGTACTATTACCTCAGATTTCCAATCACTCAACTATTTTGATACATATTTTAATACTATGCTATAAATAAAAAAAAAAAAAAAAAAATTGGAAAAATTGGAATAAAATCAAATAAAACGTTTTCACTGATCGATTGAATTACCCTAAATTGTATGCATTGTGAGTCTTGGTATTTGCCATTCAGTTAGTTGGGCTCAAATAATTATTGCTTATAGCTTCTGTTCAACCCGCCACAGACAACTACAATTATGTGATAAGCTTCGCGACAAAAGCAAATAAACACCTGAAATAATGGGTTCTAATTAAAAGGCAAATAATAAAAAATGTCAAAAAAGGGGAGGGGAACGTCAACGTACGCTGGAACTTTGTTTAAACAGATTTAAATGGACAACAATTCGAGACTTAATTGCTTTCTTATCAATGCATAAAACGAGAAAGTCAAACAAATTAAATTATGATAAAAAAGCTGGTAAGCATCACAAGAGAGTACGCATTGTGAAAACAAAAGTGTAAACAAATTCAAAAAAGAATGTAGCAACGTTTTTTTAGCTGTGCCATTTTTTGTAAGAATATTGTTTCGTTAATTAAAATAACCATTGTGATTACAGAATAATGTTGTATCCTACCTGTTTTAACAACCCTATTTAAAATTGAATATTGAAAAAAAAAATTGATGAAAAACTTCTTCAAATAATTTAAATAATAATTATTTGACATTTTAAGCTCGAAAAATGTATTTATTGAAAAATGTGAAATCAAATAAGTTCATTCTGTATTATTGCTTTGCAGTAGAATATTAAATTTATATTTGTTTGAAACTTTTCTTTAATAATAATAATATGAATATTGTGCCCACTATTTGTTTATATTTAATTAACTTTTTACATCGTAAACATATGGATCAATATTTACTCTAAACAGAAAAACTAAAAATACTCCAAACCAAACTAAAAACCAGTCGCCGACTAGGATATACCCTGTAGCCGCCGCCGTTACAATCATTTTGTTTTATACTAATAATAATAATATGGCTTAAAGCTAAAATGGAACTTCTTCCAAATGGATATTTGTAACAATTCTATCAAAAAAATAGAGCTGATATTGTTAAACGGGAATATATATTTCAATTTTATTTTTTTTGAGACGTTCGAATGCATACATGTAACATACGTACCGTTGCCGATGCCTCTTTTTTTCCGTTGTATACATTTGCATAAAACCATAATACCCCTTTTAGCCCATTTTCAGCGAGTGCGGGGTAACAAATATGCTAAAAATACAAGAAATATGTAAAACCGCAGCTGTCAGTCGTGTCGGTGCGAGGGAATTCCCACTGAAGGCAGCATTCACGTAAGAATCGAGCAATACATGCAGCAATTAATGGAGAGAATAAAGTGAGAAAAACAACTACGCGTAATGCCTAAATATGTGGGTGGGGCGAAAAGAAATTAACAAAAAGCAGCAAAATTGACTTAACGCAAGGCGCAAAAGTTAAAAAACAAGTATAAAAAAGAAGAAGAAAAAAAGCTAAAATCGGGCTAGTTTTAGCAAACTCAAAACCAGTTTCCAACACTGCGATGTGTAATTATAATATAATTTTTTATGCCAACACTTTTGGAAATGCCCCGTTGCAGTTTTTCCATTGCCGTTGCGTGCTCTTTATTATCTTTTTTTTTCACTCTCTATCGTGCTCTCTGTCTATCTATTGCTGAGGTATATAAGGCTGCTATGTCTATATTTTCTAGTGCCGTTTTTTGCACCATTCGCTTTGCGTTTTTTATTCGCATTTGCATTTTCCACTAATTTGACTTTTGTATTGTTGTGGTCGACATTCCGCCCAGCATCCAGCTGCTAGTTCTCCCATGGAGCACCTAACCCCTTTCCCCATTCCCCATTCCCTGTTCCCTGTTCCAGCCGTCATGTGCAGCGACGGTTATGTGTTAGAGTTTTTTCTCGTCCTTTTGCTTTCCACCAATCAGCTCAACGCATTCTCCGTTTTCTGCCCATCTCTCTGGGCGTTTGTGTGTGTGTGTGTGTGTAGTTGGTCGGTTGTGCTACGCACTTTTTGACTTTGGTTTGTGTCGGCCTGTGGCAGGGGCAATGCGTTTTCCATGCATTGGTTGGCTGTAGATTGCTACCAGCAGGGGTTGAGTTTTATCTGCGTGCAGGTGTGGGTGTGTGCGTGTGCTATGTGTGGCTGTGTGCGCCTGTGTAGGTGCTTTGGGTTGCTTTCGAATGCCTGTTATTTGATGTGGCTGTGACTTTGTGGCCATATCATTAATTGCCGCTAGCTTGGCATAAAAAGTAGCACACAAATTAGTGGACAGCACAACGCATAAAAGTAATGGAAAAGAATAGAAATTATGGTAGAGATAGAATCTGTGGCAGTTTAAAGATTTAAAAATGATACATCACTAATGTATTAATATATATTAAAAGGTTAATGAAAAGCCAGCTTTGTATTAGTATAATTTCTTGAGGTTACTTGAATATTTTCGATTTATTTACTGTGCAGAAAAAAATGCACTAATATTCTATATTTAACATCAACATCCTGACCTGCCTTAGAGAAAGGCCCATGAATTTGAGAGACTTTTTAACTATCAGTTATGGCTATTAACTGTAGTATATTTGTAAGATAAACCATAAGCAGACCTAATATTTTTTTTTGAAAATGCATCATAACTTGAAACTATGAAATACTCAGAATATTCCTTATAATTTATATATAAAAGAACTGAAAAACTAATACCTAGAATACCATATAGATATATTTACATTTTTGCTTCATAAATTCTTAAAATATTTCGGTTGGCAAATCCGGAATGGTAATTGCATCAATGGCATCTAGTTTTAACGTTCAAAGCGTCATTCGTTCAACTTTGCTCCTGTCCTTTTCACTAACACATCCAACCAGTTTATCACTTTGCTCACATACACACACACATTCAATTTGCTGGACCTTCAATCACAATAAATCCATACAAATTTCCGTTATATATCCAGAACCCAAAGAGGAACGACAGTAATAAAAACTTTCAAATGCAAACTAAGCAAATTTTAATTAATGAAAAATTGCAATTAAAAAAAAACGCTGCTAGCTTGCTATCTCACTTCAACCAAGCCGCTGCAGCTGAACACAATTTTTCATTACGTAGAGACGCAGAAACTAAAAAAAGAGGAGAAAAAAATGCAATCAAAATGTTGCCTAGTAAATGCATAAAAAACAACGCACAAATACAAACACACATATATTGAGATACATATGTAAATGTATGTGCATGCATGCGCATACATAAGTGTATGCGTGTGTGTGTGTATGGCGGGTGGGGCTGCCAGCAAAATAGGCGTCATCTAAGCAAGCAGTGCAACTGCTGCGACTGCGACAGCGACTGCGACTAACGCTGCTGCTGTTAAGAATGCTGGCGCCGCTGCCAGCATCGCCCGATTAACATAAACACGCAAAAACATTAACACCGCCGCAGCCGCAGCCGCAGCCAACCAACAGCCATCGGCGCCAGCGACGACGGCGCAGTTAGAAAACAACAACAACTGCATACGTCATACATAGATAACGCGGCGTATGTGTAATGCGAGAGCGAGACAGCATGCCGATGTTGCTGGCACTCGGTCTGCCACGCTCATTACACTCATTTCGCAAAGTCGTTGCTGTTTTTTTTTTTTTTTTTTTTTTTTTTTTGCTGTGGTTGTAGTTGGGTGCGCATAGGCAATTTTCCACATTTTCACACACAGACGCTGCCAGCAAATGCGAAAAAAGTCGACACGCAGACGCTGGCTGCGCTGCTGCGCCATGTGGCGGCCGCACCCCCAAACCCAATCACAAAAACGCGTTAATAAGAAAACGTGGCGCAAAAAACTACATTCACACTCACACACAAGCAGTAAAGACCCCTGCCCTGCCCCCTGCCAACAACGGCTGTCAGCCAATCACAGAATTTGTTTACGAATCGCCCGCTAAAAGCAACACAAAGAAAATTTTGACGGCAGCGCAACGCGTTGGCAAAAAAAGAGCGTCTCTCATTTTATGCAATTTTTCCCACAGCTTCAAATGGCCGCCGCGTGTACGCGCTCTCGCTCTTACCCTCTCATACTCTCGCACATTTATTCGTTCGCGCTCTCTTGGAGCGTCGGCGCCGGCAGCGCCGCTTGGCACATTTTTTTTGGTTGCCTTACATTTTCCACTGTTGCTCATTTGCGCTGCGCTGCGTAAAAGGTAAA